GGTAGATCTTCAAACTGCTACAAAAAAATTAATTTTCTTCGTCTCAAAAATTTAGCAATAAGCTTTCACTCAAATTGTAAATAATGTTTAGGTTTGAATATCTATTGAACTGATGTGCACTCGTTCAGACATTCATTCATTTATTCATTCATTCACTCATTCATTCATCCAGTCATCCAAATTTATTCAACCGTCCATTCATTCATTCACTCATTCATTCATTATTTAATTATTTATTTATTTGCTTATTCGTTTTATTATTTGTCCATTCAATCACTAATTTATTTATTCATACATTTACTGAATTGTTCAAGCATCTTTTACTTTACCTATTCATTCGATTATTTATATATTTAACAAGTTAATAAGATCAGTTACTGGAAATTGTGTCTATCTTGCTTCTTTCTTAAACCAAGCAACTGTAGTTCTTGTTTTGGAAACCATCACAAATATAGAAATTAATTGGGATTGTGCTCCAGAAACTGTTTTCGGCTATTAACACCACTTATTAAAATAATTACTTTTTCTCTCCGAAATTTGCTGGAGGCCTACTCCCATAAGTCATGTGAAACACTGTTCATTCTTTTTGTCGTTCAAATATCATTTCGTTATTGAATCTTTTCTTGCCCTCCAATTTGCATTGCCAGTGTAACTGATTTGTTCAAGTTTCACAAAAATGTATGCTCCACGGCGATTTCCACATTTTCTATTTGCTAAACAGAAGTTCCACCTGATTGTGAGTAACAAAAATTAGCTTGTCTTTCTTTGATGATATGATCTGTGCTGTTTTTAGGCATACCCTTCTCATTTGATTAACCAATCAACGAATGTATGAGTTTTTTTAAAACTTTTTCTCCAAACTATCGAAGATGACCAAAGCAAAAAGCATTTTCTATGGTCTCTAGACATCCGTTGTAATATGACAGCTCCAGTTGTCAGTGATCCTTTTCACATGAGTGAAAAAAGACTTCTCACACCTCACAACACGTCGTCGAAACCAGTTCGTAGTCTGTTTCCATCTTAACCATCGTTATCGTTTTTTTCTATTAGCTTTAGCAGCTCTTTAGCATTGCACGCAAGCTTTACTCGGAAACAAGTTTGTACAATGATGTAATTGCTTCGATTGGAGAAGAGAAATGTTCACTGCTCAATGATTAACGCTTATGTAATAAGTGTTAGAAAATAATTCTAACTCGTTGGTAAGGAAAAGTGGCCCGCAAGTCCTCCCATACTCGGGCAGTCTGCCATTTGATGTGTAAAGAAGTGTGCGCACGGCCAATTCTCTAGAACTCTTCTTACCTAACATTGGTACCAAGGTACAATATAGTACAATATAGGTATAGACAATATAGACTAGTGCCAATACAATATAGGGCTTGCTTCAGCTGTACCAAAAATATACTGCGATTACCAATTCTCCAATACATTGGGATTACGGTAAAAACTTTTAACACGTTCGCGACAACGTGCATTTTTAGTTGTCCGCCTCGTGGGACAATGCCTTTGGATAAGTCAAAAATTTTCAGTTAAAATCATGCAGATCTTCAATTACATACCTACAGTAATTCTATGAAGCGGGTCAGGAACGCAAAAGTATCTTCTAAGGTCAGAGCACAAGAGAACTTGGGAAACTATTGTAGTCCAAGGCAGCAGTCATCTCAACAAAATTTGAGCCGAGGCCCACCATGTGGGTCACATTGTCCCAGGTGGCAGTCATTGCTTGACCCACCATTGGGTCACGTTGTCGTCAACGTGTTGATATAATAGTGGTTTTGCATTGACTGAATTTCTGACAAGATTGGAGTCTTCTGCGAGGTTTTTTTGACGCTGCTAGCGGTAAATTTAAAAATATGGGGAGATTGGGATCCACATATCTTGCAGCGGAGCTTTTCCTAATAATATTCATTTATTTATTAGGTTGTAACAGAATTAATGCAGGTTTTTCGCTCACCTTTTTCAGAATGCTGGTTTAGAAAGAAAAACTGTTCTCCCAGAGAGTCTTGCATGTCATTTGAAAGCTCCTCTCTTCTAATTTCTTATGCATTCTTTCATTGCAGTGGAAGTGAATTTGTCTAGAAGTTCTGAGCCCATGAACTCAAGAAACCAAACCTCGAAATTCTCTCTCTCAACATACCTGGCTCTAAAACCACCAGAAACAATCGGAATTCGCTGCAAATTTACATAGTATTTTTGAGTGAGCTATGTTAAAAAATGCATGCTGAATCATGAATTCTAAAAACATCTGAGCCGAGAAATTTCAGAGCAAAATTCAACGGTCGCTGTGGTCTGTCTGCCCTACATAAAAATCCTCAGCGCGAAGCGACTGCGGAGCTTCGGCTTTACATAGGAAGAATAGGTTTAAGACATTTATGGCTAAAAAAATCGGGAGCCGTTTTCCCTATTCAGCTTTGAAAAAATTCAAAAGTTCCAGAAAAGCGATTTTTCAAATTCTCAGAAAAGTCGAAAAAATGAGTACTTTCAAAAAAATTTTAAATATCCTCTCGCAAAGAATTCTTTTTCAATTCCGAATTTAGCCCTGCTGCACAACCGATCATAGACTACACAGTGAGTTATATTTGCGCTACCTTACTACATTTGATAGTAAGTTATGGTCTCTCAAAATGAAGGTTTTCCGAAAAAATTCTTGGCAGAATTCGGGCTATAAGATTTTTCTCAATGAAGCTACAACAACAAAATAATGCATATTGAGTTGAGAAAGGCTTGCTGATTACAACAATTCTTGCTGCACACGAAAAGACTACTTGTGTAAAAAGTTATAGTGATCCAAACACAAAATTCAGAAAACCTGCATTAATTCTGTTACAACCTAATACAAGCGATTCCTAGATTCAAAGGTAAATTTCTTCCACATATGATCCGCTTAGAGGCGAGAAAGCGATTTTGTACCTAAACAAATCAAATTATTTTTAATTTTTTAAATAATGATCTCTAAAAATCATACTTGTTGGATGGCGGATACTGTAGAACTACGGTACATAGAACAGTTATTGCTTCATTTGTTTGGTAAAAATCAGAGTAATCACAATACTCTCTTGAAACGCGATGTTACAATAGATATGAATACATCGGTTTTATCCATTTACTAAATAGCTTGCCAAATTTTTTGTGAGCTGCCACATTTTGAAAAAAATAGTTTTCAAGGATGTCGGGACAAAATATGTATACATAGAAAGTAAAAGAAAATAAAGAAAATCAACTTTCCCTTAGTCAGGCTGACGTGGGCTTATTAGCTCTTAGTCTTTGCGCTGTCATTCATAAAAAGCTGCTACCGTATGCCTACCGTAACTCTTCTGGCGATAATAACGATATTGATGGTCTCTTCTGCCTTTTTAGAAGCCGAAAAAAAGCCCTTCTGCGGCGAAGTTTCGACATTTTGACTACGAGGACGTTTCGAACACCAAAAAAGACGAATTCATTCATTTTATCGTATTTTTCGCAGACTATCCCGTCTAATCTGCAATTGTCCCGCCATCGCCACGAATTGCTCCCGCGTCGTCGGCACGCCCCTCTGCAATTCCTCAGCTGTTCGTCGCTTTCGTTCTTTGTTCAAGCGTGCAATACCTCGGCAAAAGCAAGAGTTTTCACTATAAAAGCAATCAGTTCTGGTCAGAAGGTACTCTGAGAGCAGGCGTTTTTGTTTGAGGTGCTGTTGTTACCATTCAGTGACGTGATAATACTCATTAATCGTATACTCCTCATCAACTGGATGTTGCAAGGTACCTCATGAATTTGTTCTGATGTTTTTTCTGTTTTGAGTGATGTTGAATGTATGGAGAAATTATATAAATGAACAAATATTCTTTTTTGTTTGTTTTTCCGTGCCATGAATAAAACCAAGGACAAACAAAAAAGAGTTCAATTCCTTTTTTTGAACTATTGCCACATTTGTTGAATTCGTTCCGTTTTGGAAGATCGTTGTACTCCAAATTTATTCTGTTCTTGACTGGTCTCTAAATTTATTCTGTTCTTCACTGGACTCTCAAATACAAAACTATGAGTTGGAGAGCTCTTTGATTCATGTAGATAGTTTAATATCATATCTCATTCTCGTTCAGATCCAAACATTTAGAACTTATTATTCTAGCTCTATCCGTTGTGAAGGTCTCGATAGTGTTGTCGAACTATTTATAGAACAATTCTCAAAGAATTTTAGAGGGCTACACGAGACTTCTGTTTTCAACGTACTTTTTTTGAAATGTGATTGAATGACGCTAGACTTATATCCAACAACGCAATAGTAAACTTATTAGAAACAAAATTTATAGCACCTAAAATACATGCATAGCATGCAGTCTATAATTTTTACATCTTTTATTCTTTTTTACGTACTGCTGTTGGTAAATCTATCACCTTTTGATGTATAGTTTTACTCTTCAGCTGCATCTTCAATGGAACACGCAATTAATTGGCTCTAAAAGTGTACCAAATAACACATAGTAACTCAAATTTTGCTAGCACCAAAGTTCAAAGGAAAGCGAGAGTGTTCCAGACTTTGGATTGCAGATCGTCTTCAATGCAAGCGAGACTGCTTGACGGAAGAATGACCAAAATAAATGAGGCTTGGCCTGGGAAAAAACTATATTTGTGGGTCGCTATGGAACACGCTCAGCTATTAAAAGCTTTGTCATTAGTTTATGGCAAATATAATATATTCCTAAGTCCCATCGTCGAATTATCCCATATTCAGCAATAGCATGTGCTAATACTTACCATTTATAATCGAGGCGCGACAGCAGAAAAAAGTTGAATAAGTTAGAAATTTTGCCATACGGCTTCTCTCCAAATGAAGTTTGCGTTTTCGATAAGATTGAGAAGTAGGCTAAGTTTGTTGAAGTTGAGCTATCGAAGTGACCTTCCTTTCAACTTCTTTTCCGAAACCGCAGAGAATTAACCTCAGCTTCAATTATCCCTCCGCAATCGGTTTGGTGTTCCTTGAACAGGCTTTTGCCATGTGTTCGTCCATCAACAAACATGATTCTAGATCTCCTCCACTGCGTTCGCCCTCCAGCAGCTGGCTCTTCTAACTCCATACTGCCTCATAACATATGACTTGCACAGCTCAATTACTCACATTTATACTTACACTATGGCAAGCTACAGTAACCCGTGGTAAACCGCCAAATATTCTATTTATCATGGCAGATGATCTCGGCTTCAATGATCTCGACTGGAAAGATGAAGAGTAAGTCTTTCGTTTTTACAACGGCTTTCCGGTTTTTTATTATAATTCAACGGGTACTAACCTAATAAAGTGCGGGAAAAAACTGGAATTGACTAATTCTGAACGAGAACAAAGCAAAAGATGTTCTTTATGCCACCGCCTCGACCTTCGATCCGGTTGCTGACGCTTTCTATTACACTATGTCATGGTTTTTCGTTGTTGACAAAGCGCTTTTATAATATGTGCTGTAGGACAATGGGGCAGTGGGGCATAATAGCTTCTAAACACTATGAAATCTGATAAGGTAGACCAATGAAATCGCAATTTTTGTCCAGGACCCCGCTTTATGGTCAGTGGTCAATTTGGAAGGGTCCTGACAAAAAAAAGATATTGCTGATACGAAGTGCCTCAAAAGTGTATAAGTGTGTAAGCGTTGATATCTCTATTCCCAAAGAGTAGTTTGCCAATCTTCAAGTATTATTCTGTAGAACTGGCTTCAACTTACAAGAAAAGGAAGGTAACTCGAAGTGGCCTTCTAATATGAGGCGGACACTCTCTTGAAGGGTAAGAAACGCTGATTCTAAATCTACCTTCCATATCTGCTACGGGTTCCTGCGCGAGGAGTTACGAAGGTTTTCGTAAGTAAACATATGCATATGCAGCTAGTATCAAATCAGTCAACATTTATTCTACGGCTCGAATGATTTTCGGATTACTCTCTGCAATAGATATTCATAATTTGAGCAGTCCACTTGACTCTGTCACTTCAACCGCTAGGAAAAGTCAATCACTGATTTTATACTTTATTCCTGATCATGCATTAATTTTTTGTTCACAAAACACTTCAAAACTCCTTGCTCAGAACCTGCCGCGGGTAAGAACGGTACATTTAGAATCAACGTTTCGTATCCTTCAAGTCAGTATAAATCTCATACAGAATGGCCACTTCGACTAACCTTCTTTCCCTTGTTAGATTTACAAAAACAAATCTCCGATCGCTTTTCTTAACTATAACTCACGTTATAAACTCTATGCTTTTTGAACCATTGTGATTTAGTTGCATTCTCTAAATAAATTCAAAAACCTAGAAAGTTGTGTGCTAGAGTTTTCACACATGATAACTTCACTACTTGATTTTTTGCAAGTCCTTAAAGCTTTCTAAACGATATAAACATAGGCCTAAGGCACTTAGAAAAACTACTTGTTATGTTATACTTGGCATATCTTGAAGACTAGCTTTTATGGTGATGTGTAAACCTCATATTTAGATTCAGCGACTTCAAGTAGTCTAGCGTAAGTGTCTTTAGGCTGTTAGGTTCTCCTTCTCATGTGAAGTATGGCTCTCAATAACCCAGATCCCTCTTTGAAGTTGCTAACGTAGCGAATCATTCACTCTTCAATGAAGAGTGATCGATATAGTGTAAGTTTAAGTTAAAGCCTAGCCTTCTATAGTGTGTTAAGTTAGAGCCAGCTCTATAAAACGGTACTTAAAGGTAGGCAAAAGAATTTTTAAGAAGAGAGACATCAACAATCAAAAAGTGTGCACACAGTTTTGCGATACCCTGTTTATCCTTGAGCCATCTTACAATAACGTACAGTAATTATGCAGTAAAAAAGCGTAGAATAGCAAGTTATCAGTTTTTCGGTGATTGTCTGCCTTGACTATACGAGAAAATGTTATAATTGTGTTTTTTCGTGCAAATCTCTGGATCTTCAAAAAACACAATAAACTTTGAAACATACTTATATAATTACACCATATTTTCCACGGAACCTATGTATTAACAATAAGTTTGCATACCAAGCAGTAAAGATTTATGTAACTTTCCCCTTAGTTTTTGTTAAAAATTATCAGCTAATGATAGAAATTTAGGCGGCACATCTTTTTTTTCTAAAAGGCTTAAACCTAGTTCGTCATAATTTTCGAAGTAATTTCTAGGAGCACGCACTTAAATCATTTTCTTTTTGAAACGCTAAACTATATCAGCAACATTCTGTGGATACATTTTTCCTTTTTTCTACTGCATGTTCTCTTTTTTCCACTTCTCCTTCACTTAAATCTGTAAAGTAAAAAAGATAGGAAATTTTTGATAATAATTGTTATTCTGTATAGGGCAAAGAAATCCTGAGTATTCTTGTGATTCATGTGTTACCAAAGTACTATTTCCAGGCTTTACACACCAACTATTCGTTCACTTGCATTTGATCCACATTCAGTACAACTTACCAACTCCTATGTAAATCAATTGTGCACTCCGTAAGTTTAAAAATTTCGTAAATAGTAGAAGTGGTGGGAGAGGCACTGTATAGGCATTTTTCCGCTTGTAGGACAAAAGTTTGACAGAACGCAAAACGTTCTGGAGGTATGGGGAATTGAACCCCAGCCCTCTCCCATGCTAAGGGAGCGCTCTACCACTGAGCTATACCCCCACGCAGCGCTTCTGCAGCGGAATTCTCTATGGAGTGATGTGTTTTCAGAACGAGGAGTGCGTTCATGACTGGTTATTATCCGTTTCGAGTAGGAACACAGGTGAGTAATCACTTTGCTATCCTAGAACACATAAATTAGGTACTTCCAATACCCATCTATAACCATTTACTGCAGTGCAATAGCTCTTTTTATATCAAAAAGCCAAAACTTTACAGCTAAACTAGAATGTGATTTAAGAGCAGTTCCTAAAATTTTATTGAAGTTCAAATTTGCCTAATTCATCTAGCGGAAATGTTGGCTAATTTGTTTGGCAATTTCTGTAATTCCTATATTTCTTTCAAGCGTACTTTTGAGTAAGGACGTCTTAAAGTCTGTTCTCTCGAATCACTCTATTTCTAGGCTCACAAAATGTTTACAACTATCGAACAACCGAGTATGAGTGTAATAATTGGATGATTGATGTGTTTTTTCTATAAGAGTGGGCAACGGGTAGTACATTGGTTAGGGCATTGATTCGAGTGACCGGTACTAAGAAAGAAAATTTCTAACTAGCATATGTAATATGATTTGCTAGTTCAACGAAGTAAACCTGCGCTTAATTTAGAAAATTTGACACACAACGGATTTAGTTTTATACACGTAAATATCCCGCTTCTTCTTTTTCCAAGATACAGAAGGGTGTGCAGTTTGCAAAAAATCAAAGCATTTTATGTCAAACCCTTATTCCACCATTCCTTCCTCTTTCTTTCCACTATCTTATTAGATTTTTCAAAATCAAGGGTTGATGACTACCATTCTAATAAACACTCTAAGTAGGTAATACTCTTATTTTAAGATACTCATTCTTGAACATTTCAGAATGGCGTATTCCTGCATATGGAACCTTCTGGAGTCCCGCTACTTTTCCCATTTGTGCCGGAAAATTTGCGTTCACTCGGATATTCAACTTATCTTATTGGAAAATGGCATCTAGGCTACTGCAGAAAAGAATTTCTGCCCACATCACGGGGTTTCGACTATTTTTACGGGTTTTATGGACCGCAAGCTGGTTACTTTAATCATAGTTCAGGTGAGAATCAATGTTTTTTTCGCGTTCAAAAGAAAGGAAATTAGAAAGTTATGTAATGAAAAAGCTGTTTAAAAAGGAGTATTTTTCAAAAAGTTTTTTTCATATCCGACGAGTTATTATCAAGATCTTATACTATGAACAATTTTGATTTGTTAATAAATTTTACAGTGTTCTTTATTGTGCTGCAATGCTTCACTTATCTGCACCAAAATGTTAAAATGGTGAAAACTGAACATTACCATTCATGTGACAAATCATTGAACTAATTCTTAAAAACCTCAAACTCAGTTATTGTCTCTTTTTAGGATAGAAGCTTTGTGGTCACACTTAAACATTTCGTTAAAGCGTTGAAAAAGCGACATTTATGACGCTGTGGCACTTCTCTTTTTTTCCTATCAAAATTTGTCAAGTTGCCAGCACAAACTGAGGTTCCGAAATTGCAGATAAAGAATCAGAAGAGCTTGACGTTTGCAGTAGTGATTTGATGCGACTTATCTAATTAATTCTTGTGGTCAAGCTATAAAGAGTTTGAAGGCAGGGGCTCGCAAAATGGACGCCTCAGGTTTTGCTGGTTTGTAATGTATTTCAGTCATGGTAATTTAACCCCAAAATTTCCCAGGGGGATCGAATAGAATAGCCTTAAAATGTGAAATTTATCAGCTAGCGACAATCCCTCGAATTCCGCAATATATGAGCCACTTATTACATAACCAAGAAAATGGAAAGGAGATCATTATGAATTGTTAGAGTGAAAGAATGAAGAATTCGCAAATGATTGATTGTGACATTGGCGAGATGTTCAGTTGTCCATCAATTTTCTAAACCATAAATTCACTATTCTTCAATTTGGTTTCTCTTTTCCACGAAAGCACGAGCCAAGCCGGTTTCCAATTTTCACGGCATGCGTTCGCATCATTGCTCATCGAAGCGTTGTGTGGATTTTGATATATGACACATTTGGAAAAAGATGAGATATTGAGTCGGAATGGACCTGCAGTTAATCATTTAGAATGATGCACTTATGAGAGAATTCAGTGAGCACGAGCTATTTCGACGACCAAGCACTTTTTCTAAAATTGTTTCGGTATACCGAAATGCGCGTTTGGAATTCCCAAAAAGCAAATCATGAAGGCATTACTTTATGAGTGACGTAAAGAATTTCAATTTCTTTAGTAATTTCTTACTACTATCACACTAAAAACAATAGAAACGCGCAGCAAATTGGCGCAAAAAGTACGCTATACTACCCTTCAATGTTCAAGAGTGCATGCATCTTTCGACTATGTCAAAACTTCTTCTATTATTGAGGACGGAAAAAATTTGCTGAGCAAAAATCGAACGAATCAGTAAATCAAAAAGGGCAACACATGTGTCTCGAATAAAAAGGTTTATTCGAGACACATTCTCCACCTCAAGCATTATGTCTGTCAAATTTGGGTCTAATTCCATAACTCCTTCTATTCTTTTTGGGCGAAAAAAGTGGCTAAGCCAAATATTATATAGTATTGACAGAGTCTTGGTGAATTACAGCTGATATGGAATTGAAGTCTACTTTAGATCAATGGCATCGAGATTTGAGAAGAGTTGTGAGGGGTGTCGATTTATTTGAGGAATTCGGTGATGGCATCAGTATGCCAGATTTCAGTCAAGACGGAGTTTATTCGACGGTTAGTTGCTCTGCCTACGCATACAATAAAATTCTTGCAGAATCACTGGCTAGGTTGAGAAATGTCCTAGTTAATTAACAGCTTCTCAGTTCTGTAGCGATTGCAACCACTTTCAGTGTCAGTAAAACTTTAGGTGAAAAACTCACCCGTGAGATGACAAGAGATTAGAACTTCATCTTCAAAAAAGTTCTAGCGATATTCTCCATACATTATGTGCTAATGTTGAATTTGTAATTTACAAGTCTCATTTTATCTTCAGGAGCTCTTCGCCGACGCAACTATGGAGATCCTCGATGCTCACAATTCTTCAAATCCTTTTTTTACTTTCCTTTCCTTTCAAGCGGTTCATCCACCTTTGCAGGTGAGAACAGCATATCTCTTGTTCATGTTTCTAATGGAGAGCATCAGAGGATAGATTTTGACGGTCCAAGAAAGAAATGTATTAGGTTGTACCGAAGACTCACATATCATTTTCGGGTTAGCGAAATTATTCGTATCTCAAGGGCTGTTTTCAATTAATTTGTTAAAAAAGTAGGCATGTGCTTTATAAAGGTACCATAGCGGCGCTTCAATAGATATTAATTTCAGAAAAACAGCAGAAAAGAATAACTGAGCCCCGAGCTCTGACGATCTTAAGCAGACCCGAACAAAATTCAGGAAATTATGCATTATAATTCAAAACATTTAGCAACTTGAATTCTATGACCCCTTTCCAAATGAGTAAAGTTTGTGCTGATCAAGCTCCCTTATAAAAAAACATGGTTTAGGCATGCCAGAAATCAATTTTGTCCTTTTATGGTGTTTTTTTCCAGTTCATCACTTTCCATGAAGGAACTCGAAAGACACTTAACTTGCTTAGCTAAAATAAAATGATACTTTGACCTATGCTGCCGGGTGTTATTAGTTTTACTCCATAGTTTGAAAATTTTTAAAGGCCTGCTTGAAACGACCAGAGCTTGAGTGCTTTATTCTTCAATTTTTTCATCTGTGCAATTAGAACATTAGAAAGCCACATACAACTTTGGGAGCCACATGGTTTACTCATTTAATAAAATTAAAAAGCGTAAGGGTACGCAAAATGTTGCGATTTTTGAAAATGAGGAAAAAAGTTTCGGACCATCCAAATTATTCTCTGCCCTACTGCACTTCTCAACAACTAGCTATCTTTTTCTGATTGCAGGTCCCAAAACGATTTGAGAGATATTGTATGCGGATAAAGAACAAGGCTCGTAGGATTTATTGTGGTGAACGATCTGATCTATCTCGGTCATGAAACCTCAAAATTGAATAATTCCAGGAATGTTGACAGCAATGGATTTTGCCATTGGTCGTATCATAGAGTATTTGAAAGTCACCGGAAAGTATAAGGATACAGTAATCATTTTCACCAGTGATGTGAGTCTATATGGATTATTTCTCAACAGAAGTAATTAGATGTTTTTAATACATCTTTTTATCTTAATACTCTTCATTAGATCATTATCAAGCTTGGTTTCTTATTCTAGAACGGAGGAACAGCTCAATTTGGGGCTTCCAATTATCCTCTACGAGGTGAGAAGGACACTTTGTGGGATGGAGGCACAAAAACGACTACTATTGTCCATGCTCCTAAGTTCATAAAAGTGAATGGTGTAAGGCCATTGTGAGTTCATTAATCATATCGATTTTATCGATTTTTTGAACTATTGTTAAATATTTCAGGTTATTCCATGTGGTTGACTGGCATGCAACGCTTTTGGCTATTGGTGGGATGCAGATTCAAGCTTACGGTGAGCAAAGAAAATTAAAGGAAGTTAGAAAATTAAGTAGTAAAAGCGAGAAAAAAAGAAAATTGAGGAAAGAAAAGGAGGATGAGCGGGTTCATAGTACTCCAATATCATTAGTAATTGCCCTATTTGGGTCCCGCGCAGATGCTGGCCAATTTTTGGATATTCCTCTTCAAAAACCTTCTGCAACTTTTCAAAATAAAAATAAAGGATTTAGTTCCCATGGCAACCTGACATTAAAGACGCTATACAGTCAAGTAGATTTTCTGCCCAATGGTGTGCTTGCGGTTCCGAGAAAATGCGGCAAGATTTACGCGTGAACAAAGAGCTACTGCTGTAATGCCGCCCATTTGCGCGCGCAAAACGCTGGCATTACTGGCGTAGCTGTTCGTTCACGCGCAAATTTTGCCGCAATTCTCTAGCACCGCAAGCACACTCTATTGAGAGAAAATTCTACTCCAGTGTAGGTTCAAAGGGAATTTTCTCTTTTGGCTTTTGGACCCCGCTATTACTCTACGGAATTTTGGTGAAGTTGGCTAGCTCCGGGAATTACCTGCGTGAAAGTTGCATAAATAAACGCTAAGTCCCTCTAGGTTACTTGCAACGAAGTGAAATGAAGTATAATATATTTAGATAGCATCTACAGAAAATGTATGTATAATCTGTCCATGTGCTCCGTTGTCCGTAATTACGACGCATCCCGCAACGCGCGAGCACTGCGCTGCGGTCTCCAATCGAGCGGCGTGATTTAACGCTCAAGCGGTTCGTCCGCGAACATGGCACACTTGACTCTAGCGTTGCGTTTGAGTTGATAGCAAAGAAAGCACATCGTTAGCCCAAACTCTATGTAACCTAGTAGATTTAACTGTTCAATGTGGTGCCGTTGCGGTGCCCACAACACTTGCACGTCAGAAAAATGTTCACTCAATGTTTCTCGTTTTTGTTTTCTTTGTGCCTCATGTCTTACACGCTATTTTTGCCAATAATGCAAAAAGCACATCCGTAAACATACTACAATAATAATTTTCGAACCAGCAACAATATAAGTTTCGGGCATCCTCACTGTAGATCTGACTGCTAGCTGAAATGGAACGAACACCTCTACAAATTATCCTTTCGCGCGAACTTGCACTTTCAAAGATGGAATTGCTCACTTCAAGTAATTAAGGAAGTTTTGAGTAGTTTAGGAGATGGTATAAATCAATGGGACTATATCGTCAGTGGAGTACCTCGCATCCGACGATTCCAGTTCATCTACAACATCGATGATCACGGATCTGCAATAAGGTGAACAACTTGATTTACTAGTCTCTTTCAGTGATATTCTCTAGTATAAGAAGTACCACTTCAAAACCAGTTTCCTATGTTTTTTTTTTCGCCAGGTGCTTTTTTGCAACCGTTAGTACAGATGATAGAAAAATAACATAGAAGGCGGAAAGGAGGTGACTGGAGCTTACTCTTTAGATGGGATGTACACCATATTGAAGGGCATAACGCAGATTCTGAATCAGCCTTCCTTACCTGCGGAACTTTTATGGACGAGAAGTAATGAGCGGTAATTGGAGTAAAAATTAGAATAAAAGTAGTCGTAGTACTTTGCTCCTAACGTTTCAATGGAGCAGTGATATTTATCAGAACATTTAATTCATTAGAGACTCTAAGATTAAAAATATTATATTTACACTTGTTTGCTTTTTTGAGAGCTAGTAAGATGTCAGCAGACCATTTAATCCTAAATGCACATTTGATTTCTTATTTCAATAACCGTTCATAACTCCTTGTCCACAAAGTTCCGCAAATAGGAAAGGCAAATTTGGAATTAGCGTTTCATGCTCTTCAGCCTTGTATACATCCCCTCAAAAGGCCGGTCCACATGCTCCCTTGTCAGCCCCGAGGGCAGCTATCGGTTTTGAAATGAGTTCTTCTGTAACAGACAAAAATCATCTAGTTTCGAGTAAAAATTTGTTCGTAAGAACAAAAAGTAGTCGAAGAAGAGGGTTCAAAAAGAGCGTATCAAGTTCTTGATCATTTCATGATTGTCTTCGTCATGCTCTTCTTCCCAACGGCTTGATTCCAGATCCCAACGTTCCCTTTGCCTTTTTTCGAAACGATATTCAACTTGAAATTTTCCGCCGTTTTGCAGGTGAAGGGGGCTTGCTACTGCTCAAAGAAATCTTGTCTTGATTCTCTAAACGGTACTGTTGATTGACCCAACATGCCTCGATTTCACGTAATTTGCTCAGCAGATTTACAGATTTCGGCAGACTTACTTTTCTTATATTGTTTTCTTAAGCGTGGTAATTCTGATTGTTTCAGAGATGGCGACTTCAAGTTGATCTATGGAAACACAGATCGTCGTATAAGAGGTCAAGAGCGAAAAATACGACTCTATCGAGTTTCAGGTGAGGAAGTTATCTTTTTTGTGCTGGATACTTTGTTTAGGCAGAAGAATATTGCGAAGTAAATATGCTAGTCATTATTTTGACCAGCACCCGGTGTTCAAGAAAATATGAGCATTTGCTCCGAGTTTCAAGGAATTCTTGAGAAGGGAATACATGAATCTCTCACTGAGAATGCTTTGAATTCGGAAAACATCAAGACTATTATATGTTTACATTATCTATTCATCAATTATGTATCATTCCAGAAGACCCTGGCGAGAAAAATGATGTCTCAAGAATGTATCCTATCACTGTCCGAAGGTAACCTTGACATCAATACTTACTTTTCCTACCTGGCTCACTAACTCGCTCAAATCGTAGTGAATTCCTTCTTGGAGGAAACTTTCGGCTTTCTAATTACTTTTCTTGGGGGGGGGGGAATTGCTTATAGGACGGATCTATTCTATTTATAAATTCATTAAGATAAAAACAATTCTTGTTTTATTCACTATCCATTATTTGACATAGTAGTAGATAAGTTGCACAGTTTTTCTCTTCTCTTCTCAGCTGAACAATTCTTGTAGTATTTATGTTCTATCGCTGTTCCACTCACTGAAAAAGATTCTTCAGGTTACTCAACAAAATCCTCGATCTCCAGAAATATATGCGACGAAACGTGCGAAAACCGTTGAGCTTACTCGGTAATCCAGAATTACTAAACGGAAGTTACGCCAGTGGTTGGTGCATATAGAATAGAATTCGTAGTTGTTAGGAATTGTTACTGTAAATAGTTGTAAGTACAACCGTCTAATGAAGCTTTATCAAGTGTCTTCGTTCTGTTTTTGTGGTTCATAAAGTATTTGTGAAAAAACTCCACTACCTTGGTAACTCCCTGTTTACCCCCCTACTGTATGCTACCGTACCCTTACCCACAGGCCAACGGCAATTCTCGTGCCACTTGTGTTAGTTTAATTAGCACTCGGTATAAGGTCGGTTGCCTACGGTTATTTTGCCGCTAGCGTGTAAGCTGAATAGCTGCACTAATTACTCGATGGCTATCTCTCCATGATACTCCTCCAGGAGCGATTTGATTCGAGTGTTCGCACAAGGAAGAATGCTATTCTTGTTTATTACTCTGGCTCCAGTTCTGGAAAAGCAAAGAAGGTGAAGTAAAGTTTTGTATTTGAACGACGGTGAACTATCCGAAGCCACGGAAACTCGGGGTAAATAGACAAAAAGTAAATTACAAAGTCATGCTCGCTGAGATATGCGGGAAAATGATGCACTTCAAAATCGAATCAAGGCCAGTTTGAACTAAGCGTAGGGAATCTCCCACTCTGAACATCCCTTTTCTATGCAAATTATCTCTTATATTATATTATTTTATTCACCTCTAGTCTTTGAAAGATAAGATTAAGGCACAAGTATGTGCTGCATTCATGAATTGTGAACAGCTCATGCATGTAAGTCCATATTTTCAAGGTCCTTCGAAAATAATTACGAAAAAAGTCAGTAGATGAGTTATTGGAATATTAGATTAAACCAAAAATTTGTTCGCAACATTTTCAAAAAATCGTAACTTTTTTATCTTACAATAATCCTGCACGACAAAAACAGTATTAGGAAGAACGAAGCGTATGCTTTCTAGAGACACTTTGCCTGCTGTCTACTAGCTTTCATTGCAGAGATAAAATTAAAGAATTCACTTCAACTTTGAAATTTTGCGGCAAGCCCCTTAAAATTTTCAAAAATGTGCCATAAATTCCAAATAGACAGTACCCCAGGTTTTTTAATCCCTCTTTCCAGATGAACAAAATTCGCGCTGATCGAGCCCTTTTGAAAAAAATTAGGATTTTTGAGAAAAAATGCCAAAAAATCAGTTCCTTAAGAAAACTGATTTTTGACATTATTTTCCAAAAAGTCAACTTTTTTCAAAGGGCCTGATCACCGCGAGATTTGGTCAGCTGAATGAAGGAGATCAAAAAATCCAGGATACTGCCTGTTTTGGATTTTATGGCACAGTTCTGGAATTTTTAACGGGCTTGCCCAAAATTCTGAAATTGAAGTGATTTCCTTTTCCCAATTTTATCTCTGCAATCGAAGTTTATAAAAGGCAAGCGAAATGTCTTTAGAATATGTACGCTTTGCTCATCCTAATATTACTTTTGCCACGCAAAATTTTTGTAAGAAAAAGGAGTTACGATTTTCTAAAAATGGTGCAAACGAACTTTCGGCTCAACCTAATATTTACATTGAGAAAATGTTGGAAAACCTATTATCACCAAAAGCTATTCAAAACTCCTTGGTTACAAGTGTCGTTTCTGATTTTGCCGGTTTGGATTAGAACATTCGAAACATTTTTTACCATAGTGCAGCGCAGAGGTCATGTCCCCTGTAATATTTGATGGAAGTATTAGTCGAATGTATAAACAAGCTAAGCACAGCTAAGTAGTTTGTTGACTTACTAATGTTGATTAGTTTGGGGATTATCTACGATAATAAGAGCATTAGGCTTTGGGATTATTTTAAATAAAGTAGGGGGGGGGGGGGGTATATAGGCTAGAAGAAGGCTTTCTCATAATTATGAGACAGAAAAAGAATAGCTTAAATCAAAAAAATTTTCGATTGTTATTTTCAAACAAATGCTCGTGCCTTTTTAAAGATTTTCTATACTCAGATATGTTGACTTCACCAGATTTTCGATAAATTGATGGAAAGTAAATCAAGATTTATAAGAACAGCATACCAGAAATTATAGAAATAAGTGAAACAAGAATTTGATAAATATAATAGGAGAGAGTAATTGGTAAGTTACTGGAAAGGAGTTTCCTTAAATCTGTCGATAATAATTTTTCCCAAAACTGTCGGGAAACGGTAGGTGTACTGTAATAAACCATTTCGCGCGAATATTTTCACCTTTCAAATATTTTGCCCATAACTTGTCCTCCACTATCTCAGAATTACCTGCTTTTTCTAATGAACGTGATCTTCTGCTCGGTCTCTGCCTTCACTCAGCAGATCCCAATCAAGACTCCATAAATGGTGCTCAATTTGTGAGCGATCAAAGGTGCGCGATGCGCCTTGCCGCATGTCATCAACATGTCCGTTCGCACCTGTCCGGCCAGCCTATCAGCGACTTTATCTGGAGCGACAAAGGCAGCAAACGATCCCCATATCTATATCCGATCTCAAGTCCGACTTCAGGTCAACTCATTTCCGGACTTTGCTCGTCGGCACCGCATGTTGCGAGGATATGCAGCTGCATTGTTTTGGAGGTTACAGTAATCGCGGGTGGATAGGCAGATGAAAGAAGAAAAAAACGGTAAATGCAGTATTGGTGATTATAATGATTTACTATTTATCTGCAGTTGGACACAATTGCAACAGAAGGTTTCAATGAATCTCCTTCTGAACAAAATTCTCAAAAGAGTCCAGCACATTGAACTCGTACCATACACCTACCGTATCTGTGCAGTATGACACCATCGCATTAACCATTACGTTGCTGCAACATAAAAGCCCAACGAATCTCTAAAAGTTCCGAAGAGATAAGAGCAAACTGGCTTCCACCTACCATACACTACCGTATCTCTGAAGTCTGACACCATCGCGTAAATATTATGGCTGCAACATCTATATCCAACTCTTGAAATTCCAAAGAAATTCAAAAGTTAACCTCTTCCTACCGTACATATACCCACAACATCCATGCGGTAGAATAGAACGGCAATATAATGTGCTTTCTATAATGTATATGTACGTCAACTCAATTGAGATAGGTCCAAACAGATTGTCTTTCTACGGCGTTCTCATACTGGCAATAAAAGAAGACATCCATCTCTCCAAACAAGAACCCAGACGCAGGGCTCGGCACGAGGTGGCTTACAAGCAAGCTGGATATCGTTTTTGGGACGAAAAGCAAAGGGGGTTTCGTTTTTGTGACCGAAGAGACACGAAAAATTGGCGACGGCGACCTTTTTTTTAGTCGACGTTTCGTTTTTTGGGGGATTTTGGGGAATTTTTCAGGTTTTTAGAGGAAATTTGGTTGAGGGTCAAAGGGGACTTCGTAAAAATTCCCAAAAGTCAAGGGGGACTTCGTTTTTTGCATTTTCATCTAGCCACCTCGTGCCGAGCCCTGCCCAGACGATTTCTCTTACCGTATGCCTAGAAAGTCTGAGGAATGTTATTGTCGCATCAATGTGATGATGTAACATGTACTTACCCAATGTAAGCGGGATTAGTAACAGAATTCCAAACAGATTCCAGCAAATACATAGCTTACCACACGACTACCGTATGTTTACAGTACGGCGAATCACAGCATGAAATGTGATTATAATAATCCACACATCAAATACCTTTGAAGTGAAATTTCAGATACATCTTCCATATCCCGACAGTTTCGACATCGCTCGATCGCTATCCTTTCAGAAGGAAAAGGTGAAAAAATAGCTTCGGTAATGGAGTTTGTCCTGTGGAAAGAACTATGAAAAATCAAAGATCTGCTAACTGTAGCCAATCAAGATTTAGAAATCAAATAGTTTCTAAAACTCGCACTTCCTTTTCATCCTAACATTTCGATTCTTCTTCATTCTGAGTTTTTCTCGCATTAGAGCCAGGAAATTGGAAAGAATGCTTAAATTTTTGGGTATTACTTATCTTCCCTTCCCCCTCCTTTGCTTTTGGCCAAATAACTGGGATTCTTGTAAATCCTTCGGACGTCCTTTCTCTCTTAGCATCTGTTCGATAAGATGATCAAGTACGATACAGGGCTATAAACTACTCGTCCCGCCGCAGGTAAGGTTACCATTTGCCGCACTTGAGCATGTGATACGGTATGGGCTCTGGCCACAGACCTAACATGGGTCAAGTGCTCAGCTATACTGGGAAGCTTTTGATATCCAAAAAGTTGTGGAGTCCCTGACAATTGGCGCAGTAGTGAAGTCTTTAAAAGATTCGGAGAAAAAATTTGTTTGGAGAGTGAATAGGATGTAAAAGACTTTCGACAAGCAAACCAAGCCTCAGTGGTTTCTGTACAGCTAGAGAAGAGACTGTGAAATATATTCCAAAAATATGAAAATACTTCGCATTCTATAGAATCATATGGTTCGAAATAGTAGATTCCACCAAGTTTTGCTGCTGTTGTTGATACCTGCACGAGCACCTTCCCACAAAATGAGCTTGGCAAAACTAGCTGGACGAGTTTACCTTTGCTACTCCCCTTACCCACAAGCTAAGCCCCAATTATGTTTACGCAACCGAAAGCTTTATTTACTGCAGCATACGTTCCACGAGCAGAGTCAAATTTCACCGCAAGCAGAATCCGCAGGTGCGAGAGTGGGAGCGACAGCCTTGTCCGCCTAATTCCGTAAACAAACAGCAGCACTACCTGTACCGTGTTTGCCCTGAATCTGACGTAAGGGTCATAATCACCAAAGCTGCTTATAGTATTAGCTTCCTTGACTTCCTGAACTTGCTGCTGTGAAATGCTAGGAGAAATTTACGAACTAGTCTTCTTACCCAGTGAATCTCTCAATTTGAATTATCGCACGGAATGTCCTCTGCTTTAGTTTCGTTTGATCTGTTTCTAATATTTCATTGAGTTTGCGTCTAACTGGGTGCCGTTGCCGTGCCGACAACACTTGCGCAGAAAGAAAAAAATTATTGCCAACTGCTCAAAAAAAGGCCTTGTGACAGGTCTCAGCGCATTTAAAAATTTTGGTAACGAAGTCCCTGTTGACATTGCAGTTTGTGAAAGTAAGGCTTATAATCTGCACCGAAGATTTGGATAAAAGTCAAAAA